GTCCTAGAATCTGATCTCATTTAAGGATACATAGACCAAACTCAATTCTTTGTACATAGGTATATTATTCCTGAGCCTTTTTTTTTTTTTTTTTTGAGAAAGAGCCTCAAGCTATCCCCCTAGGTAGAGTGCTGTGACATCACAGCTCACAGCAACCTCCAACTCCTGGGCTCAAGCGAGTCTCCTGCCTTAGCCTCCCAAGTAGCTGGGACTACAGGCGCCCACCACAGCGCCCAGCTATTTTTTGGTTGCAGCCATCATTGTTGTTTTGGCGGGCCGGGCTGAATTCAAACCCGACACCTTAGGTGTATGTGGCTTAGCCACTTGAGCCACAGGTGCCGAGCCTATTCCTGAGCCTTTTTAAGGAGGTATACGTGTATAAGACAGTATCCCTGACAAAATACCAAAAAGTTTTTTTTTTTTATACTTGTTACTTACCTTTCCAGGGTGGTTTTTCTACAAAACCAAGATCATAGATTAGCTAGGAAACTGTGGATCCCTTGTCTGTCTTATGCTTTCTATGTGAGAAACTAAGTAACTACTAACAAGTATCTGAGATCCCTACCATCTGAGGGGAAACGGATTTGTAACACTTATAAACCTTAGATCACATTTTCTCTCCCAGTATTTCATACATTTCATGTTTTTTTGTTTTTGGGGGGGTTTCTTTGAGACAGAATCTCACTCTGTCACTCAAGGTAGAGTGCTGTGGCATCAGCCTAGCTCACAACAACTTCAAACTCTTGGCCTTAAGCAATCCTGACCTCAGCCTCCCAAGTATCTGGGACTATAGGTGCTCACCACAACACTCATCTATTTTTTTTAGTAGAGACAGGATCTTGTTCTTGATCAGCCTGGTCTCAAACTCCTGAGCTCAAGTGATCCACCTGTCTCTATCTTCCAGAGTGCTAGGATCTTTTAAAGTATATATGGTAAGACAGTCACCCCAAGGCCTACTGAGGCTTTATTTTACGAGTCTTTACTTTATGTAAATATTAACAATTGGAATTGGAATGACAGAAACATGTGACTATAGTCTCTGCCTCAAGAAATTTCAAACCTGGCTTGGCACCTATAGCACAGTGAGTAGGTGAGCCACATACACTGAGGCTGGCGGGTTCAAGCCCAGCCTGGGCCTGCTAAACAACAATGACAACTACAACCAAAAAATTGTGGCAGGCACCTGTAGTCCCAGCTACTCAGGAGGCTGAGGCAAGAGAATCACTTAAGCCCAAGTTTG